GGAGGAAGAAAGACAACATTTAGTATTGATTTGATTGATTGTAAAAAACAAATATATAACAATTTATAACTCACCACTACGATAGCAAAACACTTCCACTGGACGATTGTACATTTCACTCATAGCTTGCATTTCAATGTGATTGCCATGGACATTATGCTTTCTTTTACGGTTGACATAAGATCCAACATCTTCAGTCAAGTACTGAGAAAAAAAATCCCTGTTTGCAGCCTGAAAAAACAAAGAATAATGAAAACCAGAGAAGTAGAATAAAAGATAAGAATTCCACAATCTCTAAGGCATAGTTCCTACAATGTAGTCCATGCAGTGATTGCGCACAACAGCATGCATCTCTTGGTCTCCATAGACTTGATCAGCAACAGATCGAAAGAGACAAGCCCCATCTTGCCCCATTTCCTTAATTATAAAGCCTCTTTTACACATCAGTTTCTCAAAGCGACGATCTCTCTACAAGAAAAAGAAGAGTTATGTCAGTGGTTGGCAATTTTGAACAGATGAAAAATATCAAAATATATTTACCTCTTGCCACTCAGCCTCAGTCAGATCTTGAGATTCACAAAAGCTATATTCATCACCACTATTATAACCACATGAGGCAGAGTTATAATCTTCCATGTGTTGAGCATCAGAAGGCCCTGCCTTGGGTGAAGAGCTGGGAGGAGGGGAAGCAGTACCATTGCGCTCACGATCTCTCAGCTTGCTACGGGTAGTTCTGTATGGTGGGGCATAGGGGACTGGTGAGCAACATGACAGTTTAACAAATTGAATAACTGTATCAACAAACAAATGTTACCTGTGAGGACTAGCTCGGTGTCTTCGTTTACTGTGGCTAGGGCCACTGTCATGTGAACTCGAACTGAGCTGAGGCCGTTTCTCTTCTCTTTGCAGAGGCCAACACAGAGGTGATCCCAAACGATCATGACTCATAGGTTCATTGTTTTGCTACAACGAAAATATTGGTATGAAGCAAACAACAAAACACACAAGTTACTTAATGCTGACATGTCAAGGATGAGATATTGAATAAGAAGTCACAAAGAGCAATTGGGACAATGTGTAATACATTAAGTAGGTTAGCAATCTTGAGAAGTATTACAGCAGAGGAAACCACAGGATGAGCAGATAGAAAAACTGAAGACCCTGCACTTGCAGTACCGTAACAATGGATCTTCATAATAACTACATTTTAAAAATATTTTGAGAGGAGACTGGAACATTAACAAAACATTCACAAAATGACAACACAAAGTAAACAGGTGCATGATTGGGCAATCACTTCAGCCCTCAAATAGAAGCTAGGAACAAGGAAATATGGGAGGGTGTGTAGTGGGAGGTCAGAACATAAGTGTGAAGCCTTGTTTGTGCTGAAATATGGCAGTTTCTAACCTAAGAATATACGAACCTGGGAGTGATTTGGCATCGATCCATGCTGATGATTTAGAGCGAGAGTTCCTGCATGATGATTTGACGTTTCGGTTGCTTCTGGCTCAGATTTTCCTTGAGAAGTCTTCTTTTTCGACAAAATAGTCATTGTTGCAGCCTACCAATACCTCTTTCAACATTAAATTAGCACCGAAAATTGAAAAAATGTTAACAATTCTGGAAGTTGAGATGACGGGATAACGAGCACAAAATGGAGTTTGTCGTTCTTTCAGAACAGGACGGCCAACAACACGGCAAGACTCTCTTTCGATGCGCGTAGCGTCTGATTGTTAGTAAATAAATAGTTTTCAGGCTCGCCTTAAATTTTTAGAAATAAAAAAGTGTCTTTGTATTTTAATATCTAACCGTTTTGACTACATACTATTTGCATAATATTTTGTGGAATAGAGACTTTTCTCACTTTGCCAACAAACTGACAGTACAGCAGTTTCTCACTGCAGACGACGTCTTTTGGCAGAAACCATACTTTTTGTCCGTGATTAAACTTTGTGAAAACAGCAACAAGCTAGCCATGTCGATAAACACAGATTTATAGCATCAACATGAGAATTCGTCGAACTGCATTTACGTGTTCAAGTCGCTTTTTAGCATTGGTGTATCTCTGTTACCTATTTCAGGATGGGAATACTCAGCTTCTCATCAATGTCAAAAATCAGGTTCGTACACATCGTCAATGCAATTTCAATCTTCGTACTGCTCCTGAATTAACTTGGCTCGTGTACTGTCATGTTAAAAAAATTGCTGTTCATCGTCCATTGTTTGATTCCGTCAATAGTCATGTATGCGTCTCATTCAAACATAACCTAATATCAGTTGTGGATCATTTAAAAAAATAATAAATAGTTCTCTAAGCTGTATTCGTTTTTAAGTACTTAACGTTATGTTATTAATTTCCAAAATATGAAGTTTTAAAATTTAAGTTGTTTAATTGGCGTTTATCTCAAATAACACCATCTCTACAACCTTGTTTACAGGGTGGTGACGTCTTGCAGGAAACAATCACATCGAATGTCACGGAAGATGTAGTCACACTTGAATTTCAGAGGTCAGATGGCACTTTAGTCACCCAATTAATTGATTTTAGACAGGTAAGGCATCAGATTAGTTATAAAAGTGCGTCTATGAAATGTGCAGTGTTTTTCTTATAATTAATTGATTTTATCTCATTCCAGAATGTTCAAATTTTGAAGGCCCTTGTTCTAGGCGAAGAAGAAAGAGGGCAAAGTCAGTACCAGGTTATGTGCTTTGTCTCTCACATAGAAAAGGCTGAATTTATATCATCAGATGCTATGGCAAAGCTCAGACAGGTACCCACTTTGGACATGCAGTTTTGTTATTATTATTATTATGTAATTCAGTTGTTACAGTTGTTTTTATTTTCTCAGAAAAATCCAGGCACTGTACGAATGCCTGAAGAAGACCGGGGAAGACATAACTTCACTATGGATCTCTTTGTTGACACATCTAGATCTGGAGTAATATCCAAACACATAGTAAATCTATGTACAGAGGCCAAAGATGCTACATATACTAGACAAGCAGATCTTAAACTTTGGTCAGAGCAACCAGGTGAGGAAGACACTCTTTAAAACTGCCATCTGTCCTGAGCCTCATTCAATTACACATGTCCTCATGAATTTATTGACTTTTCTACAGGTGCATCTATGTCTATTCTTCTTTCATCAGTCTCTCCTTTTCCTGTGGAGAATACATCTCCTCCTCGATGTATCGAGATCACAAGCATGTGGAAACCATGCACCTGTCATCTTGAAATGTGTATTGGATGGTATCCATGCTCATTAAAGTATTGCAAAGGGAAGAGTGATGCATCATATCGCTGTGGAATTAAGACCTGCCGGAAATGCAACCTTTTTGCATATTATGTTTCACAAAAGCAAATGTGCCTCTGGGATGAATGACCCCGGCCATACAGTGGGCTTTTCTCATCACAAACACATCTCTTTGTTGGAAATGACTGAAGTGTTGTGTGGATAAAGATGGCTCACTGACTCCACAAACTGTTTCTTTTATATCTAGTATAGTTTTCTGGTAAGATTATTATTATTATTATTATTTATTTATTTTGCTGGAAATGAGTGAATGTAGTACGTCCAATATATACTGCATTACTATATGTACATTGAGTTTTGATTCATATTGACTCTTTATGTTTGTCTTATTGAGTGTCACTATTGAAGTTGTTATCTGAAGATCAAAGCAAGTGATATTTTTAGTTTAAAATCTGATCGGCTATCACTTGCAATACAGTTGTGCTTGTACTCCACCAGCAGTGTCCTACCTTTTTGTGATACAATAGTTGTAAGGTTTGTTAAATTGAATATTTCTTGCTATGTGAATATATTTGTTCAAAATTATTTTCCATGACATATTTTATTCAAATTGGTATTAGATTATGAAACTTCATTATTTTATCTTAGTGAAGAAAGAAAGTGTGTGTGTTTTTTTTTTAATTGCAAACATTGTTGGTACAGTTGATGGATTTCAAATTTGCTGTCTACCTGTGTAGATTATCAGAGTAGTTTCTGAAAAAAAAATTTCAAAACAATGTTTGAATAGAATGAGTGAAAGTATGTATTTCATTGCAATTTTTTGGTTTGGTTTTGTTTTGTTTTGTTTGTAAAGATGGATTTAGTCTCGGTGAAGCCAGTGAAGCTGAAGCCACCCCATCATTTGATGGGTAATCTGATTAATCTGAGAACTTAAGCTAGCTTCAAGCTATAAGATTACCCAAAACAAATGGCGGCGTGGCTTCAGCTTCACTGGCTTCACCGATACTTAATCCATCATGATCATGCACGATGCAGGATAGCAGATCAGAGAACTTGAAGTCACTCATATATTTAATTCAGATGTTGGTTTGCATTTTGCATTGCAAGATCCTTGCAATATTCTGTATTGTGTTTCTAGACTAGAGTATATATTGTCTTTCACTTTTAAACTTCTGCACTTAAACTACCAAATTACAGTGGTTTTGATCCAATTTATGTGATAAATGGAAACATTGCTAGCTAGGTATAAATTTATTTACCTATCTTGATTGCCTATGAAGGTATAAGAAATACATTTTGACAATTGAGAGAAGTGTTGTTTTCAAATATTTTTGATCTCTGTAGTTTTGAGAAAATAATACGCATGCTGGCCTATCTGATTGTCATAAATGTGCTGCTTGGACAGAATGTTGTGCTGCAATTCTGTTATTTATTGTGTGTACAAGTTTGAAAATTGGAAAGGTGTCCTTATGTCTTTTACATTTTGAATGCATCGTAAGCATCCATTGTGTCAGGTTGTTTGGTTTCTTTCTAATGTTTCTTTGTACTCACAAGATAAAAGAATTTGATTTTTAGTTCTAATAATCTGCAAGGGAGTGAGGTCTCTTGGTCCATTTGTAGCTATTGACAGGGAGCAATATTTTTGTAGGCCCTAGGCACAATGGATATGTATTTTTTCTTCTTTTTTTTCCATGCCCTAAGTAATGACAAAGAACTGAAGACATTTTTCTGACAGCGGGTGCTTAGTTTTATCTGATGTCCTATGTACTATGTTAAGATTTGACTCTAAGTGCCATTTATTGTATTGTAATTTAAAATTGATATTGTACATATTTTGCCTGTTGTGCATCGCAGATTACTAATTTTTTTACATTTTGTACCTGATAAATAAAGCCTTACCACAGAAATCTTTGATGCCAATGTCATTAGAGCCATGGCCCCGACAATTCAGCACTGCAAGAACTAGTGTGTTCTAGAATCCCGGACGTCTCGTATCGATGCGGAACCAATATGCTCCTCCAAAGCTCAAAGTGCCGCACTGTCGTCAACCAGACGAGAACACCCGGGGCCTACTTTGTATCTCGCAGCCGGCGCGCCCTGCCCTGCCGTACTTACGTTAAATGTAGTGTCAGACAGACTTCAATTGATGAAGCTGGCGATGCCAGTGCGCATTGCCGCGTCGTGTGTGGTGCGGACCAAATGGCGATGGCGAGCGTCACCCTGACGTGCCCTGGTGGCGCCAAGGGCCAAGGACGGGGCCTGCACGGCTAGCAACCGGCCGCCGGCCCGGCCGACTCACGAGCCATGGGATCCTAAGGACACTCTAGTGATTCCAGCCTCGGCCGGCATCCACAACTTGCATTCCCCCCCAACCCCAAATCAATGGCAAGAGAAATCCTCACGATTGTGGCGGTACCTTGACGACAAGGTGACCACAATGTGGTCATGCATTGCTGGACACCCTGGAAAAGTGACCCCCCCCCTTTCCCCCTTTTATTTTATTCGATCGCATTTCAGTACAATGTCGGGCATTGGCGGGCACCAGCCAGCCAGCGACACAGTGGCGTGATACAGGCAGGACTTACTGGCTGCCATGAGCCCCATAAACTAATGTGGGGCCGCCGGGGCGGGCCGCCGCCGGGGCGGGCGAGCCTCTAGACAAGCCCACCGACCGGACCCGACCGCGCCGCGCGCCCACATCTGTGTGTTGTGCAGCAGCTAATAAGAATGTATGGCAACCGTGGGGATGCGGGGCGCGGGCGGGGCGGCGCGGGGCGTGGCTTTAAATTGACTGGAGTTCCCCCTGCTTCCCCGGCTCACACTTTTACCACATTTTTACTCCCCCATTTGCAGCAAACGCTCGGACTCCCTTGACGGTTTTGCTCCTCTATCGCGAGAGTGGAGTGGAGAGCCGGAGCCGGGCCGAGGAGTGACTTTGGAGCTGACTCGTCGCGAATCGGATCGGCATAGTCGCCGCCGCTGCGACTCTCCCGCAGCAGCCGCCCCGCCCGCAGGCAGGCCGCGCGGGTCCGCGGGTGCGCGCCGCGAGGGCCGCGCGCGGGGAGGGGACGCGTCCGAGTGCCGCCTCTGCCTCTGCCGCCCGAGTCCATCGCCGCCGCGGTGGTACTCCTCACGCGACCCGACCCCTCCCCGCCCTCCCCCGCCTCGCAACGCATCCCGCAGACCAACGCCAGTCGAGCGGGCCTCAGTCGCGACGCGTCGGTGTCGACAAAGTGATCGGTGATGGCTCCGCGACGCACCCCGGGGCCCGGGCCCGCCCTGCCGCTGCAACCCCTGCTAGCGCTGCTGTGCGCCCTGGCCGCCCTGCTGCAGGCCGTCGCCGCGGTGCCCCTCAGCGAGTTCTACCCTTACGGCCCCCGGGCGAATGGCAGCCAGACGCTGCCACCGAGCGCCGCCAGGGCCGGACCCCAGGAAGGCTCCAGCAGGGAAGTCCGCCTCCGCGTGCCCATCAGCTTCTACGACGCGCAGTACGAGAGCGTCTTCGTAAGTGTCGTCATGTGCTTAGCTCAGCCCTCGACTCAGACCTCAGCCAAGCCTTCGGTGCAGCCCTTGGTGCAGCCCTCCGTTCTGCCCTCGGTTAAGCCCTCGGTCCAGCCCTCGGTTAAGCCCTCGGCCCTGACCACGCGGACGGCTCGAGGGGGTCCACCACAGAGCGTTGCCCCTGTGCGCGCAGGGGAGTGTCTCGGAGCCACAGCCACGCCGCCTCCTCCCCGTGGTCTGGTTCCCACGCCGGTGGTTCGGTCGTCTCCAAGGCGTTTGCGGGGATACGCGAGTGAATAATGGTACAAAAGTGCGACGGCACGCGCTTTTCGGATGCAGCCGGTCCGAGAGCTGAGAGCCGCACGGAGATAAACGTCCGCAAACACGTTGACGCTGCCCCGGCGG